CTGTGGAAGGCTCTGCCCGTCACAATCCACCTACAGTTTTTAAATCCAGGCTTAAACCCTACTTTCATGATCTCGTTTTTGAATCCTGAACCGGGTCATACTTTATATTAGAACTTTTAGTTTTTTTCATCTGTTTTACTGATTCAGACATCTCCACTGTGCAATGATTTAGCCTTTTTATTGTTTAGTTCGTATTTTATCTGGTTTCTCTCATTATCTTAATATCTGTTTAATCTGTTTTATCTTTAAGGTTTTGTTCTTTTTGTGTGACGGCTCGTATAATCACTGTTAACTGTGAGGCGCTGTGGTCAGCTCACATATGTGCCTGATAAATGAACAGGTGTGGTTGCTGAAGGACTTAGTCAGATCCCTCTGGCGTGCTGACGCTCCCCCTCAGACCTCCCCTCCTAGAGGGAGCTGGAGGTTCTTTAGAAAAGGTTCTTCTATGGAACCCGCACTTTCCAGAAAAGCAGTCATGTGACCAACACAGTTTGGTTAAAATGATAAACCTGGAACTAAAGGAAGTCATTTAAAGTCCTAGAAATATCCAACATTTTAGCTGGAATTCAACATGAATTTGCAGCTTTTAGAATAGAATTAGGGAGTAAATTTGATTGATTTAGCCGAGTCCTTCACAGAGATCAAATCAAAACAAATCATAAAGTCATTAAATCATAAAAATCTTAAAACAGAAATAGATTTAAATCAGAAAAAATAAGTCACAAAATTATAAAATACCATAAAACAAATGAAAGACGATTAATTTGAGTTAAAAATAAGAAAACAACAGGTTTAGGTAAAAGCAGCTTTAAATAAAAGTCTCCAGACTGTCGACGCTGCGTTCGTCACGTTGAAAGGATGGTTTGGACCAAAAATGCAGTAACCCAGGATGAAACGAAGGCAGGAGTTGACATAAATAAAAATACTTTTATTTGTAGGGGTAAAACAGAAATAAATCCAAGAGGGCAGGGAGCCAAAATCCAAAAACCCAGAAAGCTGAAAACACAAAACTCACTTGGATATCAAACTAGGGACAGGAACGGAAGCTCACACAGAGCACTGAACAACGCTGACAAACAAACAACAATGAACGGACACCAGACACAGACAAGACAGGGCTTATATACACAGGGAGAAGTGATTAGGGAAAATGGCGGCAGGTGTGTGAAGTGAGAGCTGGAGGGAAGACAGGTGAATCGAATAATCAAAACGGGCAAACAGAAACAGAGGAGGGCCAAATAAACCTAAAAAACTCTAAAACACAAAACTAAACCTGAAGGCTGCGGGAAGGGCTAACACACACACACCATCACACACACAAATGCACTAATATAAACAGGAATGGGGAATGGACAAGCACACACACACACACAGAACTACACACCCACACACACCCACACACACACACACACACACACACGTCGAGCTGGGGACAAAGAAGCTGGGGACTACAAGGACACAGAATGTAAATGAGACCTGGAGGGCCTGGGGATGAATGAGATGACACGAGACCTGGGAGGAATTGACTTAAAGGACTACCAACCGAAGACACATAATGGGCGCAGACAAAGGACACATGAGGGCACTATGAGACACAAAAGGGGAATCTAAAGACGGATGGAGGACATAAGGAGACACATGGGGCAGACACAGATGCAGACCATGACAATACACCCCCCCCCCCCCCCCCCCCCAAAGGGCGGATACCAGACGCCCAAGACAAGAACAAGACAAAACCACAAACAAAAGACAAGGACAAAAACAGGACACAAAACCACAGGGAGGGAGAGGAGGGACCAAACAAAAACAATCCACAAGGGCGGGCGAGGAGGGAACAGGAGACTCAGAGGGACTGGCGACGGGGAACCAGGAGGTGGGACCAGGGAAGCCTCGGGGGCCGGTGACGGGGAACCAGGAGGCGGGACCAGGGAACTCTGGGGATAGGGGGCTTTGGAGTAGAAGGAGGAGGAGGAGGAGGAGGAGGAGGAAGGGACTTCAGAGGATGAGGAAGGGTCTCTGGAGACAAAGACTGAGACTGGACCACAGGGGACTGGAACTTTTGAGGTGAGGACTGGAACACTTGAGACTGGAATTTTTGAGACCGGGGTGGGGACTGGAACACTTGTGGGAACTGGAGCACTTGTGGGGAGACCGGAGACTGGGACACTTGTGGGAACTGGAGCACTTGTGGGGAGACTGGAGACTGGAACACTTGTGGGAACTGGAGCACTTGTGGGGAGACTGGAGACTGGAACACTTGTGGCAACTGGAGCACTTGTGGGGAGACTGGAGACTGGGACACTTGTGGGAACTGGAGCACTTGTGGGGAGACTGGAGACAGGAACACTTGTGGGAACAGGAACGCTTGTGGGGAGACTTGAGACAGGAACACTTGTGGGAACAGGAACGCTTGTGGGGAGACTTGAGACCAGAACACTTGAGGGGAGACTTGAGATGGGTACGTCGAGACTTGAGACGGGGATGTCGAGACTTGAGACGTCCACTTCAGAGCTGGGGCTTGAGACGTCCACTTAAGTTGACTTCGAGACTGGAAGCGTCGATCTCTGGCCTGGGGGCGTCAACCCTTGGACTGGAGGTGTCGACCCTTGGACTGGAGGCGCCGGACTGGGCGGAGCCTCTTGGACGGGCTGCGCCGGAGCCCCTTGGACGGGCTGGACCGGAGCGTCATGGACGGGCTGGACCGGAGCCTCATGGACGGGCTGGACTGGAGCCTCTTGGACGGGCTGGACCGGAGCCTCTTGGATGGGCTGGACCGGAGCCTCTTGGATGGGCTGGACCAGATGCGGTGCGTCCTCCGGGACCACCGCCGGAACAGGATGCGATACGTCCTCAGGGACCACCGCTGGAACAGGATGGGGAGATGACGGGTGAAGCTCGTGCTGAGTTTGCCGAACCGGAAACACCTGGGTTGATGATGCGGTTCCGCTCACAGGAGGCTGCTGGCGACGATGGCGACGCCGACCTCGAGAGGAGGTAGAGGTACCATGTTCAGGACCAGACAAAGGTTTGGCGGGTTGACCCATCAGAGATGCTGAGATGGCACCAACAGGTTCAGGGGTGAAGGAGATGAAGCCGGTTCTGATAGTTTGGACCGAAGCAGGAAGGGACTGGAGTCTCGGAACAGGTGAAGGGGACATGGAGGAGGAAGTGGCAGAAGTGACCGGTGGAGGGGGGTAACGGCCAAAGGCTCGTAGCAGCTTCTTGGCAAAGTCCCAAAATGAAACAGTCCTGATTGGATTTATTTCCAGATACTCTGCAGCCCACTCCAGAGATCCATCCCTAAGGCAAAGCACCATGAATGAGACCTTATTAAATTCAGAGGAAGTCATGTCCAGGCTATGAGCACAGTCCTGGATAAAACCCCAACAGGTGTCCGGATCTCCATCGTAGGTGTACATACGGTGTTTTGCTGGTTCAGCTGGAAGTTCTGCTGGGTCCTGGTTTGGTCGGTTCATTCTGTCACATTGAAAGGATGGTTTGGACCCAAAAATGCAGTAACCCAGGATGAAACGAAGGCAGGAGTTGACATAAATAAAAATACTTTTATTTGTAGGGGTAAAACAGAAATAAATCCAAGAGGGCAGGGAGCCAAAATCCAAAAACCCAGAAAGCTGAAAACACAAAACTCACTTGGATATCAAACTAGGGACAGGAACGGAAGCTCACACAGAGCACTGAACAACGCTGACAAACAAACAACAATGAACGGACACCAGACACAGACAAGACAGGGCTTATATACACAGGGAGAAGTGATTAGGGAAAATGGCGGCAGGTGTGTGAAGTGAGAGCTGGAGGGAAGACAGGTGAATCGAATAATCAAAACGGGCAAACAGAAACAGAGGAGGGCCAAATAAACCCAAAAAACTCTAAAACACAAAACTAAACCTGAAGGCTGCGGGAAGGGCTAACACACACACACCATCACACACACACACACACACACACACACACACACTGAGCAGGGGACACGGACACACACACACACACACACACACACACACACACACACACTGAGCAGATGACTGACACACACACACACACACACACACACACACACACACACACACACACACACACACACACACACACTGAGCAGGGGACACGGACACACACACACACACACACACACACACACACACACACACACACACACACACTGAGCAGATGACTGACACACACACACACACACACACACACACACACACACACACACACACACACACACACACACACACACACACACACACACACACACACACACACACGTCGAGCTGGGGACTACAAGGACACAGAATGTAAATGAGACCTGGAGGGCCTGGGGATGAATGAGATGACACGAGACCTGGGAGGAATTGACTTAAAGGACTACCAACCGAAGACACATAATGGACGCAGACAAAGGACACATGAGGGCGCTATGAGACACAAAAGGGGAATCTAAAGAGGGATGGAGGACATAAGGAGACACATGGGGCAGACACAGACGCAGACCATGACAGCGTGAGGATAAAGGAAGATCATTCCAGAGTCCAGGTGCAACAGTCTGGAAGGAGCAATCACCTCCACTTTCATATCTGGTCTCTGGAACTTCTAGAAGGTTCTGGTGGGTGGACCTGAGGGCTCGGTTGGAGCATAAGGCTTTAACATTTCAGTAATATAGGGAGGAGCTTGACCATGTAGAGCCCTGAAAGTTCTAGTCAGGACTCTAAATGAACTCTAGAGTTAACGGGTAACCAGTGCAGAGACAGCAGAACAGGAGCGATGTGTGCTCTTCTGTTTGCTCCAGTTAGGAGCCTCGCTGCAGAGTTCTGGACCAGCTGAAGGCGGTCGAGGGCTTTTTGTTGGAACATGTGAAGAGTGTGTTACAGTAATCTAGACGAAGGTCATTGGGAGGTGTATTTAAGGACAAAAATCGTTAACATTGATAATCCTGTCAAGAAAAATGATCAAAATAAAACAAAAGGAACATCCAACAGTCAAACGCAGAAACTCTCAATATTTATTATCCTGAAAAGATTTCAGAAAAAAACATGAAACAGGGAGAAGAAAATAACACTATAATAAAAACTCCTTCAAACAATACAGACTATTAGATTAGATTAGGATTACAGCCTTTTATAAATGGACTGATTGCACATTCAGAGTTAAGCAGTAAAAAGGTAAACTTTTGTTTTTCTGTTTGTGTGGAGCTTTAGTGTCCTGCTCTTATCGCTACATAAATAATGTGTCTATAAACGTTAATCATCTACGAGCTGGTAATGTGTTTAACGGCCACCAGGGCCACTCCTCCTCCGAGAACCTGAATAGATGTGTTCATGTTTGTGTCAGGAACAGGTGGTGTTTGTTTCTCCGCTCTGGGTGAAATCAGCCAGAGAGTCGAGGTAAACTCTGATCCTGATTCGTTCGTCTCCTCCCTGATCAGGGTCTGAAGGAGGCCTGCAGAAGGCTGCAGAGCCGGTCCTACAGAGGAGTCTGAGGGGGCGGGTTCATGCTTCAGACAGAGTGCACCAGGAGTTATGTGAGGTAATTGGTGACGGGGTCAAAGGATAATCCTCGTACTTAATGTCCACGTGGTCAGATCCAGCGCTGTCCAACAAGGACGCCGTCTTCAGGATAGAAAGAGACAAAACAATATTTTCAGAACCTTCTGATGTTTCTGGTCTCTATTTTAGTGACTCTAAACAAACAACTCGGTTCCTCTGCAGTAAAAATCTGTAAAGGGAACTTTACGAAGCTGTAACCCGTTTACGGGTCAAAATCAGACGAGTCCCGCTGATGAGATGAAACATGATTCAAAATGTGCAAAGGTACAAATGATCTGTGAAAATCTCTGGATTTAGGTGGAATCTGTACGATCCTTTCAAAATAAAGCAAGTGAAAGCTTGAGGGAATTTCTCTGTTTCTAGCTAAAATTTAGGAAAACAAGATGGCTTCCTGAACCGCGTTTGTTCAGAGAAATATGTTTAATCACGAGTGATTCAGCGGATTATTCTCATCACACCTTTGCTGTTTTGGAGGGAAATAAATACCTGTATTCACGAGTATTCAGCAATAATACATGTTAAAGTTTGGTGAAAATGTTCTGATTCACTAATGATCAGATTTCAATCATTTAGTTACGCAAAATAAAAATGTGTTTAAAAGGGAGAAAATGAGTGTTTATGGTACAGAAAGGTGTATCTTCTTACTGCCTACTGAGGACCGTCATGAGCTGCCTGCCAGCTGGTTCTAGAGGTCTGGTGTGAATGACCTTTTGGTCACGGTTAGGGTTAGGAACAGATCAGCACTGGTTAGGGTTAGGGTTAGGCATGATACAGTCACAAACATACATGGAAGTCAATGGAGGGTCCTTTCTATGGCAGAAAGACAGATGTGTGTGTGTGTGTGTGTGTGTGTGTGTGTGTGTGTGTGGTTACCTGAGGGCCTGATGTGACAGTCTGACCCGCGTAGGGTGATAGCGCCAAACTGAGTTCACATTTAATGGTGGAGGCGTGTTCTGAGAAGAAAGAAGACAGGGAGCTGGCGTCAGAGCTGATGGATCCTGAAATACAAGATTAAAATTCTGCTGCAGCTAAATCTGAATCCCGAGGAGGGAATTCCTCTCTCGCTCATACCCGTGGACACTTTATTCTTGGGTATCTTGGGTTTACGCTTGCGGGTCTGAATGCTCTCCTTCTTCATGGCCAGAGGTCGGGGAACCTGCAGGGAGCAGAGCGGCACACTTTAGCAGAAATCACCCCCCCCCCCCACCCCCACCCCCACCCCCACCCCCCCACGAGGCTCTGGGATCAGAACCCACCCCGTGCAGTTTCATGTAGAGGCCACAGGCATTGCAGACTGGCTCTCCGTCGGCGTTTCTCCTCCACAGCGTGGTGGTGCTGGTGTGGCAGTTGGTGCAGCACAGGCTGGCCCGGCGCGATGGCATCTGCTGCAGACAAACATTCCAGACAAAAGGGCTGAAATTCCCAATAGAATCGAGTCTAATCAGAAAAGTGATGTGGCCCTGGTGCTTTTAAGAGAACTGAGTATCAACTGAGCTCAAATCAAGGCCAAGGTCAGAGCAGGACAAATAAAAACAGCCTCCCAGCAAGGCAGCAGCCGGTTGTTGGGCAAACACTTAGCACAGAGATGCAGAGGACAGAAAAGGTTCCTGGGAATTATCCAGATGTGAAACATTCCAGACAAATCTGAAAATGTGGTCAAAGGAGCCTTAAAAAAACAAGCATTTGAGTAAATCAACTTCTTGTCTCTGATGATGGGAACTGATTTCGTGGACTTGGTTAAGTCCTTTTTGGAGATTTCACTACAAAACCCTGAAACAGGAACGTCTGTCATTTTCCTGTTAGAGAAGGACGACGTATCAACCAAACAAAGCTGCAGCACGGCGACGAGCGCATCGGGAGGTAAAGCTGACCCTAACCCGTTTTATCACAGTTCTGTTACAAACATCTTCAATGGAGAATTGATGGATGGAAAAGACATTGCTCCCATTTACTACTTTCTAAAAATAAAACTTAAATCCTTTTTAAATGTTCTCTCTTTTTTCATTTATCAGTTTAGACAAAAGTAAAGAAACCAATTTACCAAAGATTACATCTTTAACGTGCCCTAGCTTCCTTTACCTGACCCTAACTTTCCTTACCTTCTGTAGGCGTCGTAACTGTTGTTGCTTTTAAGCTTAAAATGTTACCTTAACTTATGACCAATAAGCTGTGACGCTCTATATAAACATAGAACATCACCTGCTTGGCCTTTGTGTGCTTAATCAGAAGACTCTAGGATTCTTTCAGGGATCAAACACTCTTCGTCTCAGTTCAGACAGAGTCAGGTTTATAAAAGATAAGAAATTTATTTTCTAAACAAATTAAAAACAAGACAAGTGGATGTGATGTGATATGTGGTGATCTAATGGTGTGTGTTTATCAGAACCTTGTATCTAGAAGAACGGAGTTCTGGGTGTTCAAATAATTTGGTTTACATTAAACTATGAAGTTGGTTCTTGGGGGGTGGGGGTCAGGTGACCCCAAGGTACCGAAGTTGTAGAAAAGACTGCAGTACGACCAGGTCGGTCCAGAGTCGTCTCCCGGACCACAACAGATAGATGAAATTGTTTGCGTCTAGTTGTTACTGAATAGCTGAAGGAACCGTTTGGCTGTGTCAGCTGTAGGCAGCTTTTAGCTTGTCGAAAGCTTTGGGTTAAAGACGGTTCGCTTTGGATGGCCTGTCCGTAGCTTTCTCTAGATCTGACTCACCGTCTAGTGAGCTCTGTCTTAATATTCTCATATTATGAATTCTTGGCCAACCGGGACATGCCATGTTAAGGAATGCCACGCCTCCTTCAGATACAGGATGTTCTGATTTGTGTCTAAGAAAATATCTATGTCATGATGTTTAACTGAACTTTAATTTATCTGTAATGAACCTTGTGTCTGAGTGTAGACGATTCACTTGTTAAATCTACAATTACGGATCATACCATAATAATATTCATTTCAAACTTCACTAATTCAAGCACAGATTAATCAAAACATTAATGTAAGTAAGTAAGTACGTAAGGAAGTAAAGTTTATTTATAGAGCGCCTTTCACAGATATAAATCACAAAGCGCTGTACAACATGAGTAAGATCAGGGCAAATACCTCAAACCAATAAATACATCATAAAAACAATAGCAGTGACAACAATATTAACCAAAATCAGGAGTACAAACAAAGTCAAGGTGTGAACAAGAACAAAGCCATCTTTTAGAATATTTAGCGGGGGAAAGCCTGGATGAAAAGGTGAGTTTTAAGATGTTTTTTGAAGACCTCTACAGATTTCAAGAGATGGAGATTTGAAGGCAGACTGTTCCAAAGTCTGGGGGCAATAGACTGAAAGGCCCTGTCCCCTTTGGTTTTTAGCCTGGTTCGAGGAACAGCCAGGAGGTTTTCAGATGTGGATCTGAGGTTCCGTGAAGTGGTGTGTGGGGATAAAAGCTCAGATAGGTAGCTTGGAGCCTGGTTGTTAAGAGCTCTGTAGGTCAGGACTAAAACTTTAAACTGTATTCTATATTCTACCGGGAGCCAGTGGAGGGACTGTAAACCTGGAGTGATGTGAGCTCGTCTGCTGGATTTGGTTAGGAGTCTGGCTGCTGCATTTTGGATGGCTTGAAGGCGTGAGAGGGAGGTTTTGCTGAGACCAGTAAAAAGAGCGTTGCAGTAGTCTAAGCGTGATGACACAAAGGCATGGATGATTTTTCCAGATCTGCAGTAGAAACCAGTTTACGGACTTTTGAAATGTTTCTCAGTTGAAAGAAACAAGAGCGGGAGATGGTTTTGACGTGTGAGTCTAAACTTAAAGCTGGATCAAAAATAACTCCTAGGTTTCTGATGTTGGCCTTGGCTGATGGGCAAAAAGAGGCAATTTCCTGCTCGATTTCTGGCTGAAGTTCCGGGGGTGCAGAGATCAGGGTCTCTGTCTTGTTAGCATTGAGGACAAGAAAGTTGCTGGACAGCCAGTTACTGATCTGGGTCAGGCAGAGTACAAGTGTCGCCAGCCTGTCCAACTGGTGTGGCATAAAGGACATATAGAGCTGAATATCATCAGTGTAGATGTGGTAGGAGATGTCTGGGAAAGACTGAATGATGCCAGCTAGGGGAAGAATATAGAATGCGAATAGTAGAGGCCCTAGAACTGAACCTTGTGGGACCCCGCATGTTAGAGAGGCAGTATCTGAAGAGAAGGTTTTGTGACTTCACTGTGAATGTTCTGTTGGTGAGATAGGAAGAGAGCCAGTCTAGAGCAGAACCTGAAATCCCAGCCAGGGCCTTTAACCTGTTTAGTAGTACGTTGTGGTCTACAGTGTCAAAAGCTGCACTGAGGTCTAGCAGGACCATGACAGAGCATTTCCCTGCATCAGCAGCCATCAGGAGGTTTCATATAACATTGGTTCATTCCATTTCACGATTGATTAACTCATATGAGCTGAAAATAGTCACTTTATTCAGATGCATGAGGAATCCTGTGGTGTTATGAGAAGAAGGCTTTGTTTGGGAACACAGGCTGACATCGTGTTCCTCCTGAAATGTCAACAAGGTTTGCAGAACCGTGTTGCTTGTTGGAAGGTAGAATGTAAAATCCACCTTAGAGAATGGAATTTATGTCTGCCGGTGACCAGTGGCATGTAGGATTACCCCAACTTACCTTACCCTATCTTACCTTAACTTACCCTAACTTCTCTTAACTTACTCAAACTTCACTTAACTTACCTTACCTTACCTTACCTTACCTTACCTTACCTTACCCTAACTTCCCTTACCTTAGCTTAAGTTACTCTAACTTAACTTACCCTAATATTGTTATTGTATGTTTTGTATTGTTTCATTCAACAGCATATGTTTATCGTATTCCTCATAAAAAAAAAAAAATTTTTTTTGTATGCACCAGGAAAATGGGGGAGTGCATATGCAATTTCATGTTTTCGATGGTTTGAGATAAATAAATAAATAAAAAAAATATATATATATAACTTACCTTACCCATACCTAACTTACTTTACCCGAATTTAACTGGCCTTACACTAACTAATCTTACCTCAACTTACTCAAACTTAACTTAACTTACTATAACTTAACATACCCTTATTTAACTTACCTTAACTTACTCAACTTACCCCAACATAATTTACTCTAACTTTACTTACCCTAACTTAATTTACCTCACCCAAACTTACCTTAACTTACTCTGACTTAACTTACCTTAACCAAACGTTACTCGAAGTTAACTCACCCAAACTTAACCTACTCTAACTTGCCCTAACTGGACCCCCTAAACTTACTTTAACTTTCCAAACTTAGTAGCCCAGTGAACTAGACCAAATTCTCCTTTGCAAAGTTGGGTCTAGCAAGGCTCCACTGGAACCTCTGCAGCCCCAACAGCATTCTGGCTGGCCAATCACAGCTCTCTAGAGGGGTTTCAAACACATAAAGAGCTGTGATTGGTCCATAATGGTGGGCCAATCATAGTGCTCTATCTGCTTAGTGAACAAATCACAGAGCTTTATATGCTTTGTGGGCCAATCAGGGCACTCTATATGCCTGGTAGGTGGGATGATGCAACAGAGTGAAACAAGAGTATGTCACATTCATTGTCCAGTGGAATGCGGAGATCATTTGAAAGACAACGGTAGAACCCGCCCCACAACCGAGAGCCGCCAATGGAGCGTGGCCAGGCTACAAACTTAGCTTACCTTACCCTAATTTCACTTACCCAAACTCGACTTAGCTTAATTTACTAGAACTTAACATACCCAACATTAACTTATCCTTACTTAACTTACTCAAACTTACCAAAAATTTACCTGATCTTCACTTAACTTACCTCCACCTAACTAGCATTTTCAACACAAAACACAAGAACTACAGATCTTGTGTTCACGAATGCCATATAATAAGGAATACTGTTGTCATAGCAACAGTTTGTCCTTGGTCTCTCACCAGGCGCTTCTGGGGTTTGATGAGTGGCCGGTTAATCCCGTTCATCTTGTGGTAAAGACCACACGCGTTACACAGATAGTGACCTGTCCCGTCGCGGCGCCACAGAGGCGTAGACACAGAACCACAGTTCACACACTCTCTGCCCTCCAGGGACATTTCGTCCATCAGGTCTGAAAGATGAAAGGAAAAGAGACACGCATCAGAATACGACTTTGGAAAGACTTTGTTTGAAACTCTGAGTCAAGTTTTCTGGTCCTGTTCACGTGGACATTAAGTCAAGGCAGAGACTCTGGCTGCCTCACCCCTTAGAGGCCGGCTCCAGTAAGGAGCGAGTTCTCATTGACTCCCATGTTGAAAATGCTAACTTCACCTCAGAAATGAACATGTTTATGACCTGGTCCAAAAAACCATTTTAGGTTAACAGGTCTAGTTTACAGTCATGACAAGTCAGAGGGCGGTGAACTTTTTGTAACTCCGTTTAGGTGTAATTTAATGCTTGCAATTTGGAACTATTTGGGGCGTGTCCGTCTGACTGACCGATAGCTGATTAGCCCTCAGTGCTAGTGGAAGCAGCTAGCCTCCTGCCTGTTGCATGGAAGGCCTATGCCTCAGCCTCACCTTGATGAGGGATTGCACACCATCAGAAAAAGTATCTCCACCCCTAGTCAAGATTTGAAAAACTCTATGAAAGTGGGCGTTGCCAGGAGGCACGGAGTGGCATGGTCAAGGGTGGTGAATTTCCATCCCGGGAAGGAGGGGGAGGAGACTGTAACGATAACGTGAAATTGTTCCAGCCCCAGACAATCACAAGTTTAAAATGCAGTAGCTGCAGTTCAGCACTAAGACAGTTTTGGACCTAGATTCTAGATTTAATCTAGTTTACACAAACATGTCAAAAAATGCACAGAAACAGAGAAATTGTGATTGTAAAGATCCAGATAAACAGTTTATAAGCAAAAAAAGTTATTTGGGGGTTTAGTTACCCTTTAAAATTGTTACAGTCTAGAAGGCAGAGGGTAGCAGAGCCCCTCTAGTGTGGTTTTCTGGCTAAAAGTGGCTGCCAACCTGCCTTCAATTCTATTGGTTGCCTCTTTTCTAAACAGCACAGGGAACCTAAGCCACGCTCATCTACTTCCGGACCACGGGTCCGCGGAACAATGAATAAATTAATGCAAGACAACGGGGCTAAAAACACTATTTTCTCTCTTGTTTTGTTCCATGGATTTCACACATGATGTCTGTGAATTTTAAAGATGCATTTTGATACCAAGAACGCGCTTATTTTCAAACGGGGGACACAATGGAATAGATCACACAGAACAACGGACAACAGAACCCCCATTAGCTTTGGTTAGCTTGGTTAGCTTGTAGCAACATCAGCTCAGAGTTTGATGGGTGTGAATCATCTGACCCCACCCTGACAGCCCCATTCTCAGCTCAGTTTTGTGTTTTCCAGGAGTGACAAGATGTGTGATGCAGCCAGGATGGCAGTGACAGGTGAATCTATGGGTCAAACCCATGACCCCAGATCTCATAATCCAAATGACGGTCCTGGCCCAGGCCCTTCAGCCAAAGGGGACATGGGTGGGCATGAAGGGGGGATTGGGTCCTTCCTCCCAGCTGCAGTCTAGAACCACCACCGCTCCCAACAAAACCAGTAACACATTCCTGCTGCACAGCTTTTAATCCTGTTTACTCATTCAGATCATGTTTCCAATCATGTTGTCACTTCCTTTAAATATCGTGCTGCGGGAAATTCAGTCTAAAGTATTTTCATATTTATTTCTTATTTAACTTCAGTCTTAAACTTCTTTGCTGCTGTGACACTGAAATGTCCCACCCGAGGGACAAAAAAGGTGTTTTCTATTCTAAAAAATAAAATGAAATAAAATAACAGGTCATTTTCACAATAAAACAATAACAATTTTCTTTAAGTTTTTACAAAGTTTTTTGTTATTTAGGTAAAAATTATGATGAAAATATGTTGATTCAGAAATGTATGTGTACAAAATTATTCTAACGTTTTATTAGAAATCGAGTTCTTTAATTGAACAACAAATACATGAAATGATAATAATAATAATAATAATAATAATAATAATAATAATAATAATAATAATAATAATAATAATAATAATGTTAATAATAACAACAACAATAATATTATCATTAATAACAGTAATATTAAAATTTTAATGATTAAAAATGATATTATTATTATTATTATTATTTTATTGTTAATGACAGTAATATTAATATTGTTAATGATAAAACAACAATAATCATAATAATGATATTTATATTGTTGGCATTAATGATAATAATAATAATAATAATAATAATAATAATAATAATAATAATAATGTTAGCATTTATAATAATAATAATTATTATTATATTATTGTTAATAACAGTCATATTAATATTGTTAATGATAAAAACAACAATAATCATAATAACAATATTTATATTGTTAGCATTAATGATAATATAATAATAATAATAATAATAATAATTATTATATAGTTAGCATTTATAATAATACTAATATAATAATATAATAATTATAATTATTATTATATTATTGTTAATAACAGTAATATTAATATTATTATTGATAAAAACAACAATAATCGTAATAATATTTATATTGTTAGCATTAATAATAATAATAATAATAATAATAATAATGTATTATTATTATAACAATAATAATAATAAATTATTATTATTATTATTATTATTAATATATAATTGTGATATTATTGTTATTTTTATAATTGATTAGAAATGTATATTTCATACACTCACACGTTGCTGGAGAAACAGAAGTAAATGCACTGATAGAAACGAATGAGATTAATGTTTTATACATAGAGGCTAAAACATGCGAGTTTATTTTGTTTTCGTTTGTATTTTTATATAAAAAAAGACAAAAACTGATATTTTTAATCTGAACTGTCAAAACGCATTGTTTGATTATTTTTTACATAATTAGATGAAATTACTTTCCTTCCCGGTCTTTGGCATTTATGAGTTATTGGGGTCTGACGTCACTGGCCTGATTGATACGATGCGTGATGAGCGGAAGTGACCGGTCCAGGAGGCTGCGGGCCTGGATTCGATCACAAGCAGCTTCAGCCTGGAGGCCAGCGGAGAAAAATGAAGGTTTTGATGACCGAACTTGACCCTAATTGACCCAAACGGACCCCAGCCCTTAATAACCTGATTTAGTCACGAACGAAGACAACATCTCCATAATCTTAAGTGAACGATTTGAACAGTGTTCCTTTCGGTTCTTCCTATTGAGACTCATTTAGAATTTTTCTGATGTTTGGGGAACCGAAGCGGACTGACCGAGACTGGACCTCCGGGCGGACGCGGCTCCTTGCCGGCCCTGCAAGCCGATCACTCCGCTCTCGCAAGGACCCTGAGTCCAGGAGGACGTGGCCATGTCCGGGCCCATGTACGCGTACGGGCTGGAAACGGAGCCTCCAACCGAACGCACCAGACCCCCTCCGTACTGGTCCGCACGGGCCCCGTTTCCCAGAACCAGCGAGCTCTGGAAGGTCGCCTCCAGCCCGGTTCCGGTGCTGACGTTCGGGCTGTGTGAGTAGGAAAACCCGTGCGTCGGGTGGCTGCTGAGGGGGAAGGACGAGCCGTCCGCGGCTCCCTGGGTCCAGCTGTGGTGTCCGCTCAGTCCGTGGGACTGGTGGGGCTGGGGCGGGTCGAAGGTCTGCAGGTAGGGCAGGGTGGGCAGCATGGCCGGGACTCTGCTGGTGGGGACGTAGACCGGGGAGCTGGCCGACGGGTGGATGTAACTGCCGGTGTCGTGGGGGTAGGGGGGCTGGGTGGAGGACAGGTACATGTCTGCTGTTGGAGTCCCGGAACCGAAGAGACCAGGTCTGAGGTTCGGATCAGAGAGTCTTCTATTGTGGGTCTCCAGGTTCCGTTTCCGGTCCTGCAGACAAAACATTTATTTGACACAGAACAAAAGTTCCACAAGAGATAAAAAACATTGGATCAGCTGTTTCCGACGTGAACACGGATCGGAACCAGTCCTGCGTTCTGCGCGCGCACGTAGGAGACATCCTTAGTCGGAACCAGAACGAAACCCAATCAAACAGTCAGATAGCAACTTTATCACCGCTGACACTTTTCCTGTGAGTAGCGCAAACCTTGATAGTGGCGCTCCGCTGGTTCCGTCCGCGCGCTCCCAGGGCTTTTATCTGGGCCAGATAAGGACGGTGGTGATAAAAGCAGCGGAGACCCGGGACGGAGCCACTCCGTGCGTAAAAGCTGCGCCTCCTTCCCAAAGCTTTCCTCTCCAGCTGCAGTAAAGAGCTGATGTGCGCCTCCGCGCGCTCCTGCCGCAAGGTTTGTACCGGAGAGAAGCACGTGACGCACGCTGCCATTCCGAGGTGTGTGCGTGTGTGTGTGTGTGTGTGTGTGTGTGTGTGTGTGTGTGTGTGTGCGTGTGCGTGTGCGTGTGTGTGTGTGTGTGTGTGTGTGCGTGTGCGTGTGTGTGTGTGTGTGTGCGTGCGTGCGTGTTGGGGGCTGTCAGAGTTCCTGCTTCAGTGGCGCCAGGGTTCTCGTGGACAAACAAACAAACAAACAAACAAACAAACAAACAAACAAACAAACAACAGCTTTTATGCTCCAGCTCAGGATCAAGATTCCTTTTCAATTATCCATTTATTTAAATCAGGTGTGAAACCGGAAGTCATAAACAAACCAGCTCAGATTTAATAAACAGACTCCTGTTGAGGTTTGTTTACTTTTATGTAGAAATAAAAACAACGACGCTCAGCCTGGAGGAGGCTCCGGTTCTGATTTAATGTCACTCAGCTGTGGTTATGATGATGTTTATTTCATTAGATTTCGGTGAAGTGTGACGTGTTATGGCCTAAATAATAGGCCGATCTTTAACTAAAATAGTTTTCATCCCACAAAAACGCACTTAATCAAATAATAATGATATTTATTATTACGCTATAATGATAATATTTGTGATTTCATATTAAAATGTATTTTTATTATAATAATACTGATTTAGGAATTTAGACGTTAAATAAAGTAAAAGCAGGGTTTTTTATTTGACTATATAAATCTGAATGAATCAGATAAAAAACTTTTTTCAGGTTTGATTAAAACGTGAGAAAAATCTTGGTAATTAATGACATAAGTTATCAGATTGAGTCGGGTGGTCGGGTTATTATTAAATGTTCATTATTCACTATAACATTTTCCAACATTATAAAATAATTGTGACCCAGTTTAAACGAAGAGCCTCTAAATATATGAACCCGATTTAAAATGATTATTTTCTGAAACACTTTCACCATCAATTAACTTGGTTACAAGCTTCAGGAATACTTAATATTTTATTAGATTCAACGATTAAAAACCATTAAAAATGTTTAAAATCAAGTTGTTTAACTTTTACTCACAGAACCTGAAGATGAAGCCAACGATGACATCATAGATGGGGAATATTTTCAGCACCTTCATATCAAACCAACAGACTCACTCCTGTTGTTTAATTCTGTAGTTCCCAAAGATCGGAGGAAGTGGCTTCAGACATTTAGTTTTATGACACGAGGAAGACCTCAGCTCCTTTATTATGAAGTCAGCTCATATTTAAATCAGGCTTGATGAATCTGGCATGAGTTAAAAACATTAAACAGCTAAAAGACAGGCTGGCTCACTGGTTTGTTGTTTAATGCTGGTTGGTTTCAATCAAACAAATATTAGCAAAGTTTTTTATTAAGTAAAAGTTGAAATCTGCAGATTTGCACCTGTGGCATGCAGAATGAATGTATTCAATTTAATTTTTCTGTATTTTGATATAATTTGTTAATTTAACCTATATTTACACACTTTTGCTCCTGAAAAACAGATGCTAACCTCAGAGGGATCCATGGAAACAACCTTTAAATAAAGATAAACTTCAAGGCTGTAACACGTCAGAATCAGAACGATAACGAGTAGGAAAAAATGAGACGTTTTAAGAATTTAAGACAGTGATAATAATAATAATAATAATTATTATTATTATGATAATAATAGTAATAATAGTAATAAAAACATGGCTGTCCTCTAACTGCCTACGGTTAAATGACGGCAAGACAGAAGCCATCCTTTTTAACCCCACCGACACAAATGAACCCGCACTTCCCTCACTCAGCCTTAAATCACCAGCCTGGGTGTGAAACTCGCGTTTGACCTCTGACTTCACGTCAATGTCAGCTCTTGCTTTTTTCAACATCACAAGACTTCAATCATCCTCAAACGCCCGCATCTTGGATCATTCATTAGCTCCCACCTGGATTATGCCAAGTCAGTGCTGATTGGGATTGATGCACTCGCCTTGAGCAGACTACAGAAAGTTCAAAATGCTGCGGCTAGGTTCTGAACCAATTCCAACAGATGCATGCACATCACACTCATTCTTGCTAATTGACACTGGCTCCCGGTGAAAGTTACAATTCATTTCAAAGTCTTGATTTTTGTTTACAAGACTGAATTGTCCGTCTCCATCTTATGTGACTGGGCTGTTGACTCCATTTGCACCCACACGTTTCCTTCGATCGGCCGACCAGCGCTTTGTTTGTCCATTTTGGCCATGTGAAAGCGCCCTATAAATAAAGCTGATTTGATTTACTGGTTATTCCGAAGGTCTGCTATAAATCACCCATGTAGCGTTACTTGTCTGATGCTGCACCCAAACTCTGGAAGTCCTTTTCCATCCAAGTACATTTGGCTCCATCCCTTAGTAAATCTGCATCGCCTTCACTTCATGATCTACCTCAATAAAGACTGCATGACTCCAGCAGGCCGTGTCTCGCCTCACTGCACCTCTTAGGGCTGTTTTACTTTTCCCGCTGCAGGTCCTTCTCAAAAAATTTGCATATTTGTCCAACCAATAGAAAAGTGTATTTAATACAAAAAAGTCAACCTTCTAATAATTATGTTCAGTTATGCACTCAGTACTTGGTCGGGAGTCCTTTAGCAGAAATGACTGCTTCAGTGCGGCGTGGCATGGAGGCGACCAGCCTGTGGCACTGCTGAGGTGCTATGGAGGCCCAGGATGCTTCGATAGCGGCCTTAAGCTCATCCAGAGTGTTGGGTCTGGCGTCTCTCAACTTTCTCTTCACAATATCCCACAGGTTCTCTACGGGGTTCAGGTCAGGAGAGTTGGCAGGCCAGTTGAGCACAGTAATGCCATGGTCAGTAAACCATTTAGCAGTGGTGTTGGCACTGTGAGCAGGTGCCAGGTCATGCCGAAAAATGAAATCTTCATCTCCATAAAGCTTTTCAGCCGATGGAAGCATGAAGTGCTCCAACATCTCCTGATAGCTAGCTGCATTGACCCTGCCCTTGATAAAACACAGTGGACCAACACCAGCAGCTGACATGGCACCCCAGACCATCACTGACTGTGGGTACTTGACACTGGACTTCAGGCATGTTGGCATCTCCCTCTGCCCAGTCTTCCTCCAGACTCTGGCACCTTGATTTCTGAATGACGTGCAAAACTTGCTTTCATCCAAAAAAAGTACTTTGGACCACTGAGCAACAGTCCAGTGCTGCTTCTCTGTAGCCCAGGTCAGGCGCTTCTGCCGCTGTTTCTGGTTCAAAAGTGGCTTGACCTGGGGAATGTGGCACCTGTAGCCCATTTCCTGCACACGCCTGTACACGGTGGCTCTGGATGTTTCTACTCCAGACTCAGTCCACTGCTTCCGCAGGTCCCCCAAGGTCTGGAATCGGTCCTTCTACACAATCTTCCTCAGGGTCCGGTCACCTCTTCTGGTTGTGCAGCGTTTTCTGCCACACTTTTTCCTTCCCACAGACTTCCCACTGAGGTGCCTTGATACAGCACTCTGGGAACAGCCTATTCGTTCAGACATTTCCTTCTGTGTCTTACCTTCTTGCTTGAGGGTGTCAATGATGGCCTTCTGGACAGCAGTCAGGTCAGCAGTCTTACCCATGATTGTGGTTTTGAGTAATGAACCAGGCTGGGAGTTTTTAAAAGCCTCAGGAATATTTTGCAGGTGTTTAGAGTTAATTAATTGATTCAGATGATTAGGTTAATAGCTCGTGTAGTGGAAAATTGTGTATATATTTATACACTGTAATTAGATCTAAGTAATTAATCAGAAGCGGTTGTTTTTATCATCAGGGAGTTTACTTAAACACTCTGTATTGACTTAGAGACAAGAAAAGAGAGAGTTGGGATCGTTTAAGAATCTATAATTTCTATAATTATAAATTCTTACAATCTACCAGGACTAACTCTGTGATGAATGCATATGGATTTGGATGTTTCGTGTTGGTGTGTGTGTGTTTTCAGAATCTCTAGGCTGACGTAGGCGGATCTGGTTGTTATGACTATGAACCACGAGGCTTCTGAAGCTGATGACATGAGCCGCCATTTTGTGCCGTGACTACGTACCCTGTGGAGCCTCCCGTGTAGATCAGGATATGCCAGGTCCTCGGACCTTCAGATGTACTGGAGCTGGTGGAACAGCGGTCGCAGCACGACAAAGCCCGTCTGCGGATCGACCCCCGGTAGCAGCGGCAGGCGTCAGCGAGTTAGCTCTTATTTTGAAGGAATGTCGTCTTGTTGTTCAAACGACGGAAATCTCCAGTTTGACAGTTCTCAGCTTAAAGTAGGAAAGTGCAGCTGGCCAGCCTGCACTTTTCTTAGCGATGACGATGGAACTCCTTAGGAACTCAGATTGAACAGAGCTGAGGCTGGGATGGAACTGAGGATAAAATGGCGTTGCCTTGTTTTATATCCCCCAGTTGTTCATAAATCTTAGTAAACCGGATTGGACAACTTCAGTAAACAACCCAGATTCTCTCTACGACAGACGAAAGTTCTGATTGGTTGAGAACAATGTGTCATGCGTTTCCATGTTAATGTATATCAGTCTGTCTGGTGCAGTCCTGTTTATTCATTACATTCAGAAGGGCTTTAATGTAAATGCCTTCAACCTGTACTGACACAGCAGAACTAGGGCCAACTAAGCCTTTGGGAATAGTGTTGTCTACTTCTTCCTTTGTTTTGTTGCTCTTGGAATGTGTCTTCACCAGCGGGACTTCAGGCCATTCCACTACTGAGCCCCGTGGTAGTTTCCCAATTTCTTTGTCAGTTTGATAAGACGTTTGTTGACTCTTAGAAGGTTTTCTGTGCCGTTACACTCCCGCATGTAGTGACCGTCTTCTCCACATTTATAACAAGAAACCCCTGGAGGAATCTCGGAACTTGTCTTGAATCTTGATGCAGGTGAATTCCCCTTGTACTTACTTTTACTTGCATATTCATAGTTTGTACTCAGCATTTCAGGCTGAGCTGTAGCTGCGGCGACACTCACAACTTTTAGATTGTTCATTTCAGCTTTGATTGCCTGGAGTTCACTTTTGAGTCATTCCATCTCATGGTCAGGTTTAATCTCTGGCGAGGTCTTTGTAACAGAAGTAACTGCTTTTGACATCACAGCATTCTTTGTGTCATTTCTACTTTGTAGCATATCCTCTTCCTCTCTGACTTCCTTCAGAAGTTCACTGAAAGTTAGAGGTTCTCTTAGCTTATGTGTCATGCGTATGTGCAGTGCAACCATATCCTGTGGTAAGGCACCTGGTACAACCTGCACAGTACGACGTCGATTCATGTTTGATTACTGTAAGCCTCCCTTCCGGAGAACACAGTGCAGCAGTTTATCCAGTCGTAGCAGGTATGCTGACAGTTTCTCTCCTTCGCTGTGAAATTTGTGTCTGAACCTGAGGTCGGCTGAACTTTCAGTGGTTCCAAATGCTGTTTCCAATGCTTGCATATAATCATTTGATGTGGCATTGGGATTTTGTGCTCGCAAGAATCTCATTATGTCAGCAGCGGGACCTTTTAGACTCTCCACAATCCTTTGTCTTTTAACATTGTCCCCACTCTGCCATTCTTCCAGCATGTGTGTAGTTTGCTCTGCCCAAGCATCATACTCCTCTTCTCCACTAGGGGTCGGTATCACCCCTGAGAACATCCGCAGCTTTCTGTAGCTTTGAGTATCAGCAGGTGAAGAGTTGCACTTGTCCACAAGAGAGCTGATGGCATTGACGAGAGCACTGTTTACATCTAAAGGGGTAGGGTCTAACAGTCCTTTAACATCAGCAATGCTCTTGCCCTCACTACGAAGGAATGTCAGCAGCTTAGCTTGAAACTTCTCACATTTTGGAGGCACAGGCAGCACATGAACAGGCCATGGACCAACTTCGCCAGGAATGCCGACATCATCCGGTAACGTCTGTCCAGTCACGTTGGCAGAGGTTGTAACAAGTACAAAGTCAGACTTGGTAGTCGCATCTGTGCGTTTATCTACTATTTTGGACTTTCCAAAAGCCTTGACTGTGCCAAGAGCTGCAAGTAAAACATCGTCTGTCACATCAGAAACACCACTCAGAACTATGGCATTAGCAGACAGTAACTGATATTCGTTACACCACCTTTTCATTTCTACTGCATCCATTTTGTGAAGAAATATCAGGAAACACAACAAATTAGTACCGTAGCTTAATGCCCAAACATTTATTTCAGTCCACTAACTGAAATTCAACTTAAGATCGAAACAGTGTTCACACAACTGCACAAAATCCCGGACGAGCCCCCCAAAATCTAACCCTTTCACCACTTGGCTTGATAGAATATGGTACTGGCTATTGAGTCTAGTTACCCTTTAATCTCAAATTACTTTTGTTTCCCAGGGTACATCTGGATAAAGAAAACACTAACACACAATGAAATAGATTTTGAGTATCTGTATTAACCAAATGAGAATGATAAACACAAAAAACTAGTTCCAAATTACAGTAAAGCCGGGCGTACACTGTGCGACTTTTTCACTCGCAGCGTTCAGCTTCAGCTCAAACTGTACGACTTCCTCGCAGAGCAGATCTCACGAGTCGTGTGCTCACACTGCACGACCCAGTTCTCGCATGCGACCTGACTGCTCACACTGTACGTCTGCAACACGTCGGCCCTAAAAATGTGCTAAAAATAGCAGTTTTTACTCAACACGTCAGACTTTTTTGTCTTGCCTGTTGTCCTTCGGGAGAGCTGCAGGAGGACACACAGGGATTTATGGGGGTTGGATGAGGAAACGAAATAAAGAAAGTAAATCTGTGTTTTGTGATCAGTTTAATTTGACATGAACACGACAAACACGCTTTCTTGACAATCTTTGTGAGTAAAAAAAACGTGTAGAAACAAAAACGCACAGCGTGTGTTATTAGGGAAATAGCGAGCGACCGGCCGGCGTTGATGCAGGATCGCGCGCGCATGCGCCGTGAGCGGTTCTGATACTTTTTGGATCGTAGCTGCTCGCAGCGCCGCTTCAACAGTGCGATACCCTCACGAGGGACGAGCGAAATATTAAACACACCAGAAGTCCCTGCGACCTCACGACTGCTGATCGGCGGCTGGTCACGTGGTGTTAATCGCCTCTCGTAACCCCCTGTACACTACACGACCGCTCGGCGCAAAACTCGCCCCGATGTCGTGGCTTCTCGCACGACTGGAAAATCGGCTCAAAAAAGTGAAAAAGTCGCACAGTGTACGCCCGGCTTAAGTTAACCCGTGTTTAGTTTTCCCTTAGTTTTTTTTTGTAATTTTTTTTTAGAAGTTTTAGAGTGCCCTCTTTATGTTTTATGCAAGCTTGCCTTAAGTTTGGTGGCGCGCGTTGGAGCTCATATCCCTTAATGGAACCCTTAATCCTACCAGTCGGAGGTATTCCGTGGTCCCCACAATCGCGGAAAACAATGCCGGGTCCCAACTTCCCTGGCTCTCTTCCCACGGTGCAGGTGAGTGGCTGGATCCGTGCGTCACACTCGTCCCGTGCGGCTCCGACAGCTGCAGCGAAACTTTAGTGTAGCTTAGCTCCTCCGACCTCCACTGTAACCGGTTAAAACTCGCTCTCCCACTGCATACATCGTCCACAAACTCTTCCACGATCGTCTGGTGTGAAGAACAATCGTCCAGGCTGGATATGATTCCGCACCCGGCCTTTTATAAGTTCTCCTCGAGCTCCTTTTGTCTCTCTCCACGGCCATCTGACGATTCTCCTTCGCGCTTCCTTTCTCCCTCCTCTCGTTCTTCTCTCTCCTCACTTCTCGTGAGAAAATCATAAATCTGCTAAACTTCAACACCTTGGTTTTAGCTTACAAACAATCACAGGGACTTCCTAGTTTCTTTTTTTAACCTTTCTGTAGAACAATGAAATGATCTAATAACAAAATGAACTGTATTCAATGCTTCAGAGCATATTAATTATGAAAATTTGTTGCATATTTATGAATACAAACAAAATATCCTGATTACCAAATAATCATATTATTACATGTAACATAAATGAACACATTACAGAATAATTTTCTCATGGGGTATTTTTATAACTTGGGCAGACAGAGCCAGCAGAAACAGTCTTTTATAAAGTGCCTCTCAAGATAAAAATCGTGAGGCGCTTCACAAGAACAAAAAATTAAAAATGTTTTTTAATTAATAAAAAAATATATAAAATAGAGAAGTACAAATTGTGATAAAAATGTGAAAAAAAGGAAATACATGGACATGAACAAAAACAGGAAATATATAAATTGAGATTTATTTAATTTATAAAACAAATACTGAAATCCAAAGGAGGGAGGAATCCTTCAAAGGCACGTTCTTGTGGAAGCTTCAGCTAGAGTTCTGATGAGAATTAAAAAGAGAGATCATATCTCTCCTGTCTTAGCTTCCCTACATTGGCTACCTGTTAAATTCAGAATAGATTTTAAGATCCTTCTTCTCACATATAAAGCTCTTAATAATCTAGCTCCATCATACATCAGTGATCTGATCTGATCTTTTAGTTATTAGGCTCCTCTCCTGTGGAACCAGCTCCCAGCTTTAGTCCGTGAGGCAGACACCTTGTCTACATTTAAGACTAGGCTTAAAACATTTTTATTTGATAGGGCCTATGGTTAAAATCTGATGTTAGCCTAAATCTGGACAAGTGGGGGAGTAGAGGGAGGTGGAGTGTACAGTCGGTAAAGACGGCTCTCCCTTGCCCTGCCTCCAACATGCCTCCATCTAAATAGGATAGGTTATCCAGAGTTATCTCTGTAGTTATGCTGCTATAGGCTTAGACTGCTGGAGGATACACTGACCACTTTCCACACTCTACTGCTTTCTTCTACTATCTGCTCTTTAACTGTACTATTTCCTGCTATTTCAGCTGTTAACTTTATTTTCTCTCTAAGTGTTTTTCTCCCCAGAAGAAGCTACAACGATGTTCTGCTGAGCTGTGGTGGCCTCATGGAGGGGGCCATCGACTAGCACACTGCTGCTAACCACTTAAACATTCTCCCTCTCCTGATAATAACTTTTTACTCCCTTTCACATTGAATGTGCTACTACTAGTTTACCTGTTTAATTATTGATTCACTAGGATAAATACAATAAAGTTTATCTCTCACCAAATAGAATATTTACTAAGAAATCACAATATAACCTGTGTGTGTGTGTGTGTGTGTGTGTGTGTGTGTGCGTGCGTGTGTGTGTGTGTGTGTGTGTGTGTGTGTGTGTGTGTGTGTGTGTGTGTGTGTGTGTGGCGTGCTCTGTCTTCTCCACCCCCAGTGAGTCGTGGAGGATGGCTGCTTATACTGAGCCAGGATCCTCTGGAGGTTTCTTCCTGTTAAAAGGGAGTTTTCCTCTCCACTGTCGCTGCATGCTTGCTTAGTATGAGGATTGCTGTAAAGACTCTGACACTAGTCAGTGACTCGATGCAACCTGCTGGGTTCCTTATATTGGAAACTTGTTACTGATTGGCTTAATGAGCTGACCTGTGTTGTTTACCATGTGAAGGTCCTTGAGACGACGCTGGTCTTCATTTGGAGCTATAGAAATAAACTGAATTGAATTGAATTAATTAATTCTCTGGTTTCAATCTGGTTCCAGAGCTCCAGTTTGACTATCTCACCTCCTTGTAACACCACGGTTCTGGTCCAAACTAATTACAGATCAGAACACGCTAACAACGTGAGCTTCATCTCCCATGGTAGGCTCAGACATGAGTGGGGAGCAGAGGGAGGATTCAGAGTCCTGCAGAGGCTGGAATGTGGAGCTGGAGTCAACCTAATCTCCAGCTCCCAGAAGTGAGCAGCTCCTGTCTGCCAGTCCGCCACATCTGGATGTGTGTTTCATTTCAGCCTGTCAGGTCCTATCATCCCCCCCCCCCCCCATTACAGCTCGGCAGGCCCAACCCCAACACACCATCAGAACCAATTCTCATCTTTTATTCAGACCATTTATAAAATTATTTTCTGGTTTCATGTGTTACCCTAACCCTAACCCTATTTGAGGTTATGATGAACAACATTAAAACTAGAGAACCAAAAGTGAATTTCAGTCGTATTTTACAAAATAGCCATGGCTGCTTTTGTGTAGGCTGATTTTAGTTAGCTGTGGCGGCCATCTTGAGACATGTTGACTCCAAATGCTAATCAGTTGTAGCGTCTGTCGTAAGTGGGTCTGGTGGTTTTTGGAAGGTTTTACTGAGATTAAAGAGTATGAGTAAATGTGACTGAATTAGTTTGTGTTGGTTGAAGTTGTTTAGATCAGTGGTTCACAAACTTTTCAGCTTCATTCTTGGAGCACTTCCTGTTGCTGAACCTAGACCTGACCACCTGCAGCAAGCCCAGATCATAGCACTGCCCCCACAGGCTTGTACAGTAGGCATGATGGGTGCATCACTTCATCTGCCTCTCTTCTTACCCTGATGCACCATCACTCTGGACCAGGGTCCATCTGGACTCATCAGACCAGGTTTAATAAAGCTTTGGACAGTTCTGAACCCGGTTTCTGCATCTCCTCCAAACGCACCCACATCACCCCGCTTCTCCTCCAGCTTCACTGGCTGCCAGTCAACTTCAGGGTTCATTTCAAGATCCTGGTTCTGGTCTATAGGGCCTTACATGGACAAGCACCATCTTACATTGGTGATCTTCTTAGTCCTACACCCCCAGCAGGTCCCTGAGGTCCAGTGACCACAGCCTACTGGTTGTGCAGCACCAGGCTAAAGGTCAAAGGTGACAGATCATCTGCTGCTGTGGCCCCCAGACTCTGGACCTCTCTCCCCCTGAGCCTGAGATCAGTGGACTCAGTGGTCTCCTTTAAAAAGCAGCTGAAGACTCACTTGTTCAAGCTGGCTTTTGTATGACCTTCTTCACCTCTCTCTCTTTATTCTGCTCTCCCCACCTATTCCACCTTCCTCGGGATCCACTGGTTTCCCTCTTTCCTGTTCACTCTCTCTCTTTATTAACGTATTTTCTTTTAAATCCCAATTGTCTATTTTTGCTCATTTTAAATATATTTTTAAACATTTTCTAAATTCTTTTTTATATTTTTACAGTTTTTTTTTGTTTTTGTGAAGCGCCTCGTGATTTTTATCTTGAGAGGCGCTATAGAAATGATATTTTCTTCTTCTTCTTCTTC